TTCCAGAATTGGAAAAAGCGTCTGTGTAGTTTCCACTGGTGTTAAGTCTTGACCTGCAGTCAGATTAATGTAAAAAAAAAAAAAGTATATTTAGGCAGGGCTGTTTTTCCCTATGGAGTACTAAGCTGACACTTGCTTCGTGTGCTAGACTGGGAAGGTTGTTTGTTCTGTAAATATTTCTCTCTTTTATTGCAATTTTCTCTCCAATTGCTGCCAGCTGTAGGTAGCTTTTGGTATAGAGTAAAAGGTCCTGTATTGTGCGAGATGGGTCAGGATTCCGCGGGCTCTGCTGGAATTCTTCCGAGGAGCGCGGTGATGCGGTCACCCCTCTGCGTTGTGCGTGGCCCGCGTCTGCGGCCGGGCCGGGCTCGCTGTGGCTGCGGAGTGCGGCGCTCGCTGTCGGGGCGCGGGACGTTTGTGTAAGCAAGAGCGAGTCGCCTGGTGCATTCTTCGGGTGTAGAGTGAGTTGGGTAGAGCCTGCTAGAGGGGAGGAGGGAAGTGAAACAGCAGAGATTTTGCTATCAGATGTTCATTTGTTTCTCTTTTTACCTTCCTCAAAGGTCCCACCTGGAAGAAACCCAGAAAGTAGCTCGCCGGAGAAGGTTCCCGTTTCCTAGAGAAAGAAGTGATTCCACGGGCTCCAGTTCCATTTATTTCACAGCCAGCTCGGGAGCCACCAATACAGACGATGGAGAAAGCGAGGGAGGGTAAGCAGAGCACCCGCTGAGGAGCAGATTTTGCCGGCTTTGGTGCCCAGTCACTGAACGTCTGAGCAGTTGGTAGCGTAAAGGAGGGGATTTCTTGCCCAACTAGGTGCCTGTCCTCCTGGTTTTAACTGCTTTTGTTACAGTAAGTTTACTACTGCCAGGGCCAGGCTGAGAGAAGTGCAATGATTGTGACTTTTAGAGAAAGGGGGGAAATGAAAAAGAAAAGTATGTTTTTTGAGGGTTTTTTAAGCAATAATTTGTTTAGGGAACCTTGCAGGAAGAAGTGAAGTCCAGCCTGAGACTTGAGTGAGGGAGTTTATACATAGCATTTCCGTACAGTTGTGGATTTTAGAGTGTCTGGAGAAGCTGAGAAAGTTTAAAATATATTCCAGTTAACTGTAATGTCTTTGGCTAGGGTATTTCTTATGGACTTTGCTCAGTGTGTCACACTGATCGGCTGTGTTGCTTAAATTCTTGAAAACGGGTGAAAACGACAGTATAGTTTAAGAACAATGGTGAAAACTACAATATAGCTGCAAGTGTTGTGATATTAGGTGGCAAACGAGGTCTGCTGCCTGCGAGTGTGTGACTGCGGCTTTTCTGATGAAACGCTTCTCTTCTGCGCCTTCGTCAGACGAGCTCTGTGGCTTTTGAGGTGTGTGAGCGGGCTCCGAAGCACGCAGCGCTGCCTGTCTGCGTTTTCCCAGGAGAGCTGAAATGAAAAGTAGAGAGAGAAGTTAACCATAGCCCGGAGAGCGAGGCAGGCAGAGTTTGGGCACGGGGTGCTGCTGGGCGGCAGCTAAAGGGCCGGTCAGGCAGGGCAGGGTGACCCGCAGGCGCCCGGGTTTGCGATCGGGGGGCGAAGCAGCCCTTGCTGCAGCCGCCTCCTGGAGCAGCGGACCCGGAACCCCAGGAGAGCAGGCTTGGTGACTGCTGTGCAGCCACGTCAGCCTGGTGTGTTGTCTTTAGTGGCTGGAGGTGGTGAAGCCGGGAGGAGCTGGTGTGGTCTCCTTCAGCTCCTAGAACCGCTTCGTTCTTCCGAGGTGGGTGTTTACATGAAAGCAAAACTAGGGAGCAGGCGGTTCGCGATGGTGTAACAGGAAACAAGGCTGCAGAACAGATTGTAAAACTGTATAGTTGGTTCTGAAGACAAGACCTTGCTGTCTAGATAATAACTGGTGCGTGGAGTCGTCAGGGGGCCAAGGGGTTTTGTAACGTGTGCTGAAAAGCCTGGTCTTTTTCAGCAGGTACCAGCCCCAGCTGCTGCCCGATCATGAGAAAATTTGAAGTCACGATAGAGGCTGGCAACGATTCCAAGGTTCAGAGAAGGCATCCTGCTTAGGGGACCTCAAGTGAACTGCAGAGCAGGGACGTATTTTGCTGCAAAACCTCATTACTGTACCGGGACCTAGTGATGGTTGGAGGAGTTCTTGCATTTTATTTAAAATCTGTAATTAGGTTCAGTGACCAGTGTGGGGAACTAGTGGATAAGCAGCTCTCATCTGATTTTAAAAACATTTCAAATAATACAGAACTTCTCACTCTGGTATTTGACCTGTCCAAATAGGTGTAATGAGTCTGTAACATGAGTCTGTTCAGGACCAGCTGCCTGCAGTATGCAATATTGTCTGTTAGAGATGTAAATGCTAAGATCTGCTAGGAGAAAATCGGGGTAGGGAATGTAAATTTTGGAAAAGACTGTTAAAGTGTTTCAGCAGCCACTGGGAGGAAGAGTGAGACTATTCTCAACAGATGAATTTCAGCTGCGTATTCACTTCTGGCAACAGCACTCTTTTAATGAGATTCAGAAAGCAGAACTGGCGTTTCAGCCCCGTTGTGTAAACCACAAGGACATAAGCGCCTTCTCCGATTTCACATCCAATTCACAAAAATCTTCACGAGCTTTCGGGAGCCCGGAGCTCTGGGGCTGCTGGGTTTCTCGGTATTGCTTTGGCACCGCGTGGGGCTGTTGGGCTGCTTTGCCTCCTCTTCCCTTGTGCTTGTTTGTTCCAGATAGAATGTTTTCATTTTCGTTCAGGGTGTGTGCTAGCCAGAGGCCTCAACATACTAAAGCATTTCAGAACTTTCCATCATCGTAAACTCGAGAAAACAGGCTGATAACATCCAAATCCCTTAATCTGTCTGAAAAGTCTGAGTTTATGAAGTTATATACGGTATTACTTGTCTTTTTTAACTGGCAGCATCTTGTATGAGCTGTCTTGGAGAAAACACATTTTTGTGGTGGAGGAAGAAAGCGTATTGAAGCCGTCTGTTGCTGCCTCTTTTAAAGACCGCGTTGTGTTTCGGGGGCCTCCATCGTGGAAAGTGTTTTTCAGCGGGAGCACCGAAATCGTCGCAGCTGCCAGCGAAGTGCCATAGTGAGACAGCACCACAGCTGTGCTGCGTAGTCGGATAGGCCGGGAAATAAAAGAATTTGAGGGGTTTATGTGCAAGTGCTGAAAATGAGGTAGTCTAGAGAACCGGTATTACCATTCTTCTTAAGAAAATATTAAGAAATGAAGCTTTTAGTGTGAAACAGAGCCATGACAGTGTCACCGACCACTGTGTTGCTACGTTATCCGTTAATTTAGTGCTGGCTACGTAATCACCAGCATGTCTCGTAGTGCTGGCTTTGCAGTGATAGGGTGGCTCTTCCTTTATTTCTTGCCTTAAAATGTTTCGGTACAAAGCGGTGCGTTCGTAAACGTCTGCCTGAGGGCTGGTGCGGCTGTGGTGGGTGAGGGTATGTGCTTACCCTCTGCCAGAGAGGGAAATGCGTGAGCGTTACTGAGCGCTCTCGGAACACGGGAGCTCTGGTAGCCAGAGGGGTCTTGTTATCTGCGCGTGGCCGAGGTGCTGTGCCTGCTGTCGTCAGATACCGACTGCGGTCGCCTATCTTCGTCTCCAGACGAAGGCAGCTTCGCAGGCAGGGCCCGAGGCTCTCCCTCGGAGCAGGACTTCAGCCGGCACCGAAGGGAGCGCGGCTGTAGGCACCGACCGCCCCCGGACTGCAATGGCTTTTGGTTCTGGCAGAACTTGTAAAGCTCAACACATGGCTTGGGCACAGTTTAATTGGGTAACAATTACAAATATTCCCTAGAATTAGGCGTTTTGAAGTAGCTTGCCTCAGGATGAGAGCTTTCTGTCCGGATAAACCAACAAAATCCAGATATAAAAGTGCACATTCTGGAATGACTGGCTGACTTGTGCTTATTCTGCAGTGAAGAGCTTGCAGATAGATGTGAGGGGGACAAACAGAGAGCCTGGTTTAAAAAGAAATGAATTCTGTAAGCAGACACCCCACTGCAGTGGCATCAGTCGCTACGTAGTGCTGGGTTAAATTTCCAGCTTGGGTGCCTGTGTAGGATTTGGGGGAGCTCAGTTTTAGCCATTTTCAGAAACTTTGATCTGAACTTCACCCTTGTTCATATCTCTAATTTAGCAGCTAATGAGTGTCTGGGTTTTGTACACATGGTGTCTCTCTGCGGCTCCTCTGCTGTCTCCTTGCTGGACTTCTTGCTCGTGTGAAGCGCTTACGCTCGCTCTCCTACTGTTTTGCACCTCTTCACGTGTCAGCGTGAGCAAGCTGTGTTGTATTTAGCGCTCGGGCAGCATCACGGAGGGACTGGATACGGCCAAAACAGCTGTTGGGTCTGAAATTTCCTGCAACAGGCCAAAACCCTCAAGTTATAGTTTCCACTTGGATGAGCGTGTCAGATTTTTGTGTTGAAACTCTCTTTCGTAATCCATACATTTAACTGAATTGTCCTGGCTCCGTTCTCGGTTGTTGGATTCTCTTACGCTGAGTTGGATGGTCTGAGAGCTGTTACGGTCTGCAGGCGAGGGGTGGACACTGGTGACTGAGTTCTGCTTAACTTCTGGGGAGCCTGCTTGCTCCAACTTTTGGAGATTGCCTGTGTTACGTGAGAAGTAATGGCTGGTGTGTCACTGGAGACGCTCGGCTGGCGCGGTGTCCTCCAGGCCAAACGAAGATGCTCCTCTTCCTCCATAGGAAGGGTTGTTTGTTCTGTACTGTGTGTACAAAACTGTCCCAGGCTGCACAGCATCTCCTCGCACTAATTTTGCATCGTGTTGTTCTCATTTGTTTTTTTTTCTCAAAGGTACACGACAGCCAACGCTGAGTCTGATTACGACCGGGAGTCCGAGAGGGAGACTGAAGAAGAGGAAGATGAAGTGAGCTGTGAAACAGTGAGAACCGCGCGACGGGACTCCCTGGATCTCACCAACGAGGATGAAACGCAGTTCGTCGTGGATTCCTCGCCGGAGGAAGGGCTGGGTCAGCTGCTGCAGCAGGCTGACCGCTTGCACGGCGGGGATGAGCAGGAGAAGAGCGAGGGATTCCAGCTCCTGCTTAACAACAAGCTGGCGGTAAAGGTGGCCTTTCTATATTTTGCAGCAGTGGTTCTTTTTTTCAGTTAGATAGCTGGGAAGGAGGAAATTGCGTCTCGGAGCAGGGTCCAGGTCCTGCACGGCGGCTGGGCAGCTTCAGTGACCCCTTCCAGGCGCGGCTGGGGTGCGGGCTGAAGGCCAGGACGGTTCAGGCGGCAGCAGCCGCCGGTTCCCAGTCGCTCGCTGTCTTGGAACCCCGTGTCTCACCGTGTCGTCGCTTGCCCTGAGTGAACACGCTGTACATGTGTGAGACAACAGTAGTGCCTGTGTGCAGGCAACTCGGCGGACACCTGGAAAACGTTTCTCTCGTGGCATATGCGGTGCTCGGTCTCTAGTGAGGAATCTTGGTCTTTCCGAGGAGTGCCCAGCACACGTGCGGTGGGTCACGAGATAAATAAGTTGCAAATTCAAACAGGATTAGGCAGCACTTGGTGTTTATTAGTGGATGAGGTTGGAAACCTGGGTGGCACAGGTCCTTTCCCACCATAAAGAATGCTCTTGCTGTGGCTGTTGTCACCCTCGGCTGCCGGTGCTGGTGTGCCTGTGCCTGCCGCAGTGGCACGGTCGCCTCGGTTAGCGCTTGCCGAAGGACGGCACAGCTGGCAGAGAACACCCCTCGGGTGAGTGGCTCGCTGAAGAGCGAAGCCTGGTCGGCTCCTGTGTTTCCAGGAGGAACAGAAGGGCAGAAATAACAGATAACTGGACCAGTTTGAGGAGATTGTGTTTCCCTTCACACCAGGAAGAAATGGCAGGCCTGTTGGCTGCTGAATTTCTCTTGTGTGCTGCTTTCTGGTGACTCTCCCACTGTCTTCTATTTGTGATACTGTCGCAGAAGGAACCAGACTGTTAGGAGGTTGTGTTGGAAGTTTCTACTTTTTTTTTTTTTTTCTTTTTTTTTTTTTAAAAGTAAGTTGGAGTTTTTGAGAACATGTCCACTTCAAGTGCAGCAGTACAGCTACAGCATTGCCCTGGATTTAAGAGCAGGTCAGGATGTGAAACTGTTTGAATGCAGACTGAAGCACGAGGAAAAGTAAAATTCAAATTGTGAGTTTTGATGAAGTGGTGAGGTTTAGGGTGTTGTTTTTTTTTTTTTTCTGTATTTTGAGGTTAGCAGAGGCAGCTGAAGGACTGATCCCTGTGTGGCCTGTGCAGTGGAAAGGTTCTTTGGTAGAAGGTGCCAACAATGAGGCTCGTACGAGTAGTCTAGCATAGTAAGCTTAGTCATAAATTTGGCCATCCAGCTTGCTCTTTTGTGGTTCTGCTTCAGTTCTCGCAGAGTTGGGGCCCTGTAAGGGTTTTTAAAAACGTCTGTGCGACTTCTAGTGTGTGCCCCCACTCGATTTTTCTTTCTCCTGCTCTCTGTCCGTGGCAGGGTGGGTCTGGATGTACCACATTTCTGTTTTTCCCGCAGTATGCAGACCAGAAGGACTTTCTGTGGCGCCTGGCCCGAGCCCATAGCGACATGTGCAGACTCGCAGAAGACATGGACGAGAAGAGGTCGTACGCATCTGAGGGTGAGGAGCTGTGTGTCCGAGGCAAAGGACGGGGGAGGTTCAAAGCTGCTCAGCGTTATAAACCCAACACTTGCAAACAATGCGGTGGATTAATTTTTTTCCTTGGAATCTTTTTTTTTAAGTGAGTAGCTAGCAGTACTGTGGTGCTAGGTGTTTAAAATTTTTGCTTTCTGAAAGATAGTATAAGTAGACCAAGGGGTGGTTAACGATGTAAAAGTTTCTCAAACCTGTCATCCATATCCTGTGTGGTATTAAGATAAATAAGCTTTTTCTGTAGTGCAGTTAATTTTTTGTGTTGCTCACACGTGCAGATATAAAGACGAAATACATTTTTAAATGTGTGTTTGCTTAGAGGAACCAGTTGAATTTCATTCCCTCGTTCTTCTTCCTTGCCTCAAATGTGGTTTGTTATATATATAATTAGTTAATACTGTAGCTATCTAATATAATTGTTCTTTTCTGGAAATCAGTGTAGCCGTTCAAAACATGAAATTGTAAGTTTTGTTTGGATAGTCCTTTTGGCCTTCAGCAGGTGCTTCGTTTTCAGCTTTTGGAGACCGCAGGTTCGTGGAGGGGAGGTGGAAGTGGGGCGAGTCCTAGAGCTGAGGCTCTGAAATGCTTCAGAGCTAAACTGCTGAAAGCTCCCGTTAACTTCTCTTGCCGTGGTGTGGAAGGCGTTCTCCTTACGGGTAACTGCACTTCCAGGTGAGGTGCAGCTGTGGTGGTGGGTCAGCACAATTTGCTACCGCGCTGCAAATTTGTGCGATCTCTGAGTGGCCTTGGGTGCTCCGTGTCACTGCAAGAGGGTGAATCGTTTGTGGGACGTTCTCAAGCCAAATGTGTTATAGAACCAAGAAATATATTACTTTTATGCCATTCTGTTATTGTAGTCTGACAGCCTCAGAGAAAGAAGTAAAGAGAGAAAGCGGCTGAATTTCTTACCTCTGACCACTTATTTTCAGGGAAAGAAGAGCTAGAAATTGCCTTACAGAAGTGGGATCAGTGTGCAGAGTGCCACCAGTGGTACGTAACTCTTTACTTCTTGCTTTTAAGAAGCATAGGAAAAGGGCTTGGAGATTGTTTTTAAATGCAGCTCAGCTCACAGCAAAAAAAAAGCTCATTTGCTCTTACTTGGTGTATACTACATTGATGTTATTTTCCATAAAAAGCCATTTTTAACAGCTTTGCTTAATTGGCACAAGTGATAGCTTGAGAGACGGTAGGTTTGGTTGTGATTATAGTAACACATTTTGCCAATTTAATTATGAATTTCTCTCTGAGATGAGATGCCCAGAATTCTGGAGCAAAATCTCCCAAACAACGTAATGAACTTCGCTGGATCCTGAGAACAGACTGTATCAGGGCGTTTGTGAGCGTGCACCCAGCAAGTCGACGGACTTTGGTGGTGGTGAGGGATGCGCTTCGGGTGAGGCGTGGAGGAACAAGCTGCGGACAAAAGCAGCGCGAGGGGTGCAAGTGCAGTGAGCTCCCTGTGGTATTCTCCAGGCTAAACCTAGCAGACTGCGTGTTCTTTGGGCTTAAGTGCATATATTTTGCAAAGGTGAAGGAAAGCTTGTTGAGAGGCTTTGCTGGGAGTTGTGTCCCGGAGGGGAACCACGCAGAAGGCGGTGACTCGCTCAGGAGCTGGCGCTGGGGCCCACGCGCGTGCCGGGGCGGGATGCCGCGAGCGTCGCGGCACAGAGAGGAGCTGAGCTCCCTCGGCGTCGCTTTTGATAGTGCAGACCCTGGGAAAACGTGTGTGGGAGCACCCTGTGCTGCGCTGGGTGTAGGTGGGCTGCCAGAGAGTGTGTTTCGCACCGATAACTTGCAGGACGCCAGCTCCTGGGTTTGAGAGCTCGGCGTGGTGAGGCTCGCGCTTTCCCCTGGCCCCTTTTCAGCCCCCTGTAGCGTGATGCGCGTTTCCTCTGGGCTGAGCTCGCAGCCAGCTGCGCAGCTGCGGGGGCAAAGGCTTGGGAGTTACATGTCAGATCTGAATGAGGTTTTTCCTTTGTGGTCCTCCAACATTCTTGGGTTAATTGTCGTTTTTTACTCTGTTACTGACGTTTCAGTAATGCTCTGCTCCGCAGAGACGCTTGCTTTATGTCAAGAGGTGATATATTTGCATCAATCAGCTAGGCCTGCGAGCGTGGGCTTAGTGCTGTGCCAATGTTCTTATATTCCTCTGAATTCTGGAGTAAATAGAAACATTATTCTTTTATAGTCTGTTTTCTGGCCTGGCACTGCTGTATTCTGCTCTTGGATGCTGCTTGTCACTCTGCAAAGCACTCTGGCTTTGAAATGAATTGAGACCGCAGCATATGGTGCTTTTTTTCGTAGAAAAATATTCTGGTTTTTTTCATGATAGAAGGTGCAATGATCTGCAGTTTAGCTGAGCAAGGTGTTCTATGTTTGTAGAAATGCTGCAGCTGGTTAGGATTTCGGTAAGGAGGTAGGTGGGAGGGAAGGTACCTTGCTGAATGAACAGGCTTTGGTTGCAACTCATGTATGGGATTGAAAGGATTGCTCTTCTTGTACAAAATACACCAGCAGAGAGTTTGTAGAGTGCTACAGATGTGGGCAGAGGTGAGGGAATACGCTTGTCTGGTATTCTGGTGAATTCCTTGGTGAACGATGTTTATCAGCAGTCACTGTGAGGGATGGACAACACGTAAAATAGAATAAAAGAGAAATGATTCTCTTGATGGAGCTTACTGGGAAAACAGGGTGCTGAATATCTTTACCAAGTAAGAAAGATCCGTTTGGACTACTGGTGTCTAAAGAAACGCCTTTATCGTCTTGAAAAGACTGTGTATTCTACAGGAATAGCTCTGAGTAATGAATTGCTGTGCTCAATTCAAGCTGTGATACGAAGGAATAATACTGGGCTGCTCATGTCTAGCAGATTGTGGTGTTCGGCTTTTTCTGCTGGCTGAACATCCTGAAGGAACGGGTTTTCGGTCTCCAGGTTGAGCCTTCAAGTTTGTAAGCCACTCTGATATTTGACAAAGCAAGGCTCTGCTTCAGGGTGGAATACTGAGAGCCCAGCTCTGCAGTTCGGGGTTTACGGTGTGCGGGAGCAGGGGCTATGACGTGCTGTTTAGTCGTGTGTCCCCAGTGGGAAATCTCAGGCTTTGGAGCTGGGGTGTGCTCGGTGGCCCTGGTGGGGCCTGTGCCCACCTCCTCCCACGGCGCTCTGGGTGAGAGCACCGAGTCCTGCCGGTTACCCCCAGCACGGCGAGGCTGCCGCGCGGCTCCCTCGGACCCTGGGCTCTGGAGAGCAGCTGCAGCAAGGGCAGCTGGCGAGGGAACAGCGGAGCAGCGTGTGGGAGGCGTGGGATTTGTTGGAGATGAGTATCCAACTACCTGGATCAGCCGCAGAAAGAATGATTTCCTGCCAGGAACAGAGCAGGAAATTACTCCCTTTCCAGCACTGTGGGTCATGGGGTGGGCGCAAGCTGTTGTAATTACAGTGTCTTTTTTTGTGATGATTAATATTACCCTGAGAAAAAAATTGTTGCTAATGAAATTGTGCTTAATATATGAAAAGATACATATGTAGGATGAAACATAGTTCCAAAAGACATTATAGGCTGTCTTCCCTTTGCTGGAGTAGTGGGCGCGTTGCTGAGAATCGCGTCTCGTTCACCGTGCTGTCTGTGCTAGCAATGTTTGGGAAAATATTAAAAAATAAAAAGAGGAAAGAATCCAGTGATCACTTTCCTTCGGTGTGCTGTCCTGACCCCTGCAGGGAGAGCACAGAGGGCGGTTCCTCGCCCGCGATGGAGCTGTGCAGCCTGGTTTTAGCCGCTTGGCTCGTGCGTTTCCATACCGTCCTCTGGCACAGACCCCCTGGCTGAACATGCCCTGTGTAGAAGGAACCTGCTTACTCGGTCTGGAACTGCCAGTAGAGGCTTTAAAGCTCTCTTGGTTTTCATTTGGTGCCCTAGCTCTTGGTTTATGGAGAAGTGAGCAGGGAATGATAATTCCCACTTCCTCTGTAAAGTGCGGGTTCGTTCTGTCGCATTTCACAGAATCACAGAATGGTCGGGGTTGGAAGGGACCTCTGGGGTCACCCAGCCCAACCCCCTGCCCAAGCAGGGTCACCCAGAGCAGGGGGCACAGCACCGCGGCCAGGCGGGGCTGGAATATCTCCAGAGAAGGAGACTCCACAGCCTCCCTGGGCAGCCTGGGCCAGGGCTCCGGCACCCTCAGAGGGAAGAAGTTCTTCCTCGGGTTCAGCTGGAGCTTCCTCTGCTCCCCTCTCCTCGTAGGGGAGATGTTCCAGTCCCCTCGTCATCCTTGTAGCCCTCCGCTGGACTCTCTCCAGTAGCTCTTCATCCTTCTTGAACTGGGGAGCCCAGAACTGGACACAGTACTCCATATGGGGCCTCACCAGGGCAGTGTAGAGGGGAGGGAGAACCTCCCTTGTCCTGCTGGCCACACTCTTCTTGATGCACCCCAGGATGCCATTGGCCTTCTTGGCACCCAGGGCACGCTGCTGGCTCATGGTCAGCCTGTCGTCCACCAGGACACCCAGGTCCCTCTCCACAGAGCTGCTCTCCAGCAGGGCCGCCCCAGCCTGTACTGGTGCCTGGGGTTGTTCCTCCCCAGGGGCAGGACCCTGCATTTGCCTTTGTTGAACCTCATCAGGTTCCTCTCTGCCCAACTCTCCAGCCTGTCCAGGTCACGCTGAATGGCAGCACAGCCTGCTGGTGTATCTACCACACCTCCCAGTTTGGTGTCATCAGCAAACTTGCTGAGGGTACATTCTAACTCTTCATCCAGGTCGTTGATGAAGAAGTTAAACAAGACTGGGCCCAGTACTGACCCCTGGGGGACACCACTGGTTACCAGCCTCCAACCAGACTTTCATTAGTGCCTGTTTCCCGTGCTGAAGAGCCCTGGTGTGGTGTTACGCCTTTTCACAGGGAATCGTTGTGTTACCTCTCGTCACCCGTGCTGTCTTCCCTGTGTTACTCTCTTTCTACCATGTCTCTTTGCAGACGAGAGGACAGGAATCCATTGCAGAACCCAGGCTGGGGGGCAGCGTGGATTTGTGTCATGCTAGTGTGATGAGCCTTTTCGTTACTTCCGTATGCCGCAGTCCACGTTGTCGTTCTCTTTTTCACACTGCAGTAAATGGACATTGTAATGGAAATATTCCCAGTTGTTTTCGTGTCCCTTCTGTGCGATACAGGCTGTGTGAAGCCTGTGACTGCGTAGGTGTCGTTAGGGCTGCGTTTTTGCTGTGTGCAGTCTCTCACATTGATGGTCATTTTCTGTTTTATCAAGTGCCACTTAATGCTTATGGGTTACTGAAGACGCAGTTGTGCTGGTTTTCGGTGCTTGCTCATTGATCTCCATGCTGTGTGGTTTGCTTGCGTGGCACAAATCGTCCCCTGCTTTATTGCCTTCGAGGGGTGATGCTTGTCAGGTGATACAGAAGGTACTTTACATACCATCATGGTTGCAAATAAAACTTTTCCCCCTCTTTCAGTGCCTCCTAGTTGGTGCAGTGATGACTGACATTTTAAGGCAAATAACTCTGTGGACAAGAAGGGGTTTCTGAGCAGAGCGTGACTGGCTGCAGCTTGGGAGCCGCTTCTGGCTGGCTGGTTGGAAGGCCCTGGCAGCGTGATAGCGAGTGGTTTCTCAGGAATGGCAGAGAAAGCAGTCAGTGACTGGGACTGTCTGGATGAGCCTTGGGATCTGCCCAAGTATGGAGGAGAGTCCTTCCGTGGATCCCGAGGGTCTGCTTGACACTGGATTTGGCGCAAAGCTGTTACTGTAGTCGCTTGCCGAAGAAGTCAGGAGGTCCCTCGAGAGCCGTCTCCGCAGAGCTGGCTGAAGCAGAGCTGGGGTTTGATCAGGGCTGCTCAGAGACGTCGGCCTTTGTGTGGTGGGACTGAGCTCTGGCTGGGCTTCCCTTGCAGGCGCCGCTGAGGAGTACAGAAACGCGAGAGCTGTGGTGGGCGTCTGATGTGTTTCCTTCCTGTAGAATAGATTTGTATTTGATTGGTATT